ACGCACCGTATTGTAGGAGGAGCCTGACGACGTCGGTGTGCCCATCTTTCGCAGCCTCGATTAACGGAACTGACTCGACTTTTTTCTCCTTTGGATTAGGGTCAGCCTGAGAGATGTAAACATAAGAAACTGAAAAACTTACACCGCGTTGGAGGAGGAGTTCAACTATAGGAACCGCATTTTTGGATACAGCGCAAGCGAGTACAGTCTCGCCGTCAATGCCAATTTCGTTAACATCACATTCGCCAGAGGACAAAAACAGTTTCACTGCTTCTTCATCTCCACTAAGGCATGCCTCGCTCAGCGAAATTGTCCGTCTAGAAAGAAATGGGTTGCCCAATTTCAAACTTACCCATGCTCGTCAGCTAGTGATGGAATGAGAACCTCTTTGCTTATTTCATTCCAAACTTCGGGATCTGTTATAGGACGACCGTCCTTCAAAAACATGTTTTCGATTCGAGCGGCTTGAAGAAATTTACGCAAGTTCCGGTTGGTTTCAGGGCAAATTTCGGTCACACTGTCATCAAACTAAGCAAAAAAAATCATGGTTATTTCAAATGCATACAGAGCTTATCAATGGAGAATAAAAAGTACAACAAAATGGTTTATGAGACGCGAATAAAGGGTCAGTTTTGCCAAAATTATCAGTTCAGCGAGCCAGAAAAACTGAAATACAAACGAAAGAGACAAACGCACCACTTATGGTCAAATGAAACAATTATAAACCTTAGTGAGAAAACTCGAAGCGGGGAAGGCATAATAAATGGCCAGCCGCAAGTGTATACAGCAAAGGTTAGATACATTTTGGGTGTTAATCATAACACCCAATGCATTTAAGGTCAGCATATCATTGAAAGAATGCAAATGCCAACTTTGGTTTACAATGTAGATTTTACTTTACATAATCCAGCTGTTCCACAAAAGCAGTTTTTGTCAACTTTATCAACTCAAAATTTATCATGATCTTCGGATCATCATCGAAGAGACCGAGTGCGGAACCTAAAGAGGGCCTACAGTTTCGTTTCAGATAGTCTAAGGTAAACGTGGAGGAATAAAACATCAACCGGGATAGGTCAAATCGTATAAATAAAGTCTTTTTTGAGCGTGGACCAAGTAAGTCAATGTCAAGAAAGGGGTTACATGTGGGCCATATCTTTACGAGAAGTAGGTAGCGAGTAAAAGCCGACGGACACTGAACGAGTGACCTCGATTTGAAATTAGGCAGTTTGGGTCACGTAGGATCTAGCAAACCCAATTTTCCATAAGGTTTGTGGAAATATTTGC